ACTGCTGTCCTTTAATGATATATCAAATCTGCTGCCTGAGGCAGCTACCTTACTATGTAAAAAATATACATTTTAAAGAAAATAGACAAACTTATTTAACACTAATAATTTTTAGAAGAATGTTCTGTCTAAAATCCTTAAGTATGGATCTGTTTTTGGTGTCTAATATGACATATAAGGTAGAAAAAACAGAAACGAAATTCATCTTTCTAAATTTATTTACAATATTTATATGCAACCCATAAAGAAAAAGTTGTCTGGAGTTTTCACAAAGCAAAATTTTAAAAATGTAAAGTTAAAAAAAAAGCATAAGCACACAATTTAGTGATCAAATAAAATCATGATGAAATCAGCAACAGAGAACAATAGTGCAAAGACAATGACAATGACATCTAGCTCTCTTTCTTTTAAGCTTATCGCACTGTGTTCTTGTAACGTAATGGGTAAGTAATATGAATGGAATGGAACATATTTTATCGCATGGTATGATCTTCATCGAGTTCCCATTCCGTGTTCTGACAGTCCCTAGCCCGTTCCAGCAGCAGAACTGTAAAAATGCATCCTCAGCCAGCAAGAACGCTTTCAGACCGTTCCAGATGATGTGTGTGCGATAATCCTACCTGGTCTCAATCTGTCCTCATATTCTGATTGGCTAAGACAACCTCCTCCCCTCCTGTCCTACAACATCCACAAACTCAACTCAACTCTTCCGTTGTTGACGCAAGGAAGGTGCTACAGGGTTGTTTGTTTTTTGTTTTGTTTTTTGTAGATTGAATTGTGTTGTGTTTATGAGAAAAAAACAATGAATGCTCACTACCTAAACCTCTCGGTAGCAGTCTTTCCAATGCAGACATAGGGGTTTTTGTAATGGTGAACATGCGCCAATGAGGGATGGCTGAGGAACTACTTTAGCACCGGTACTGGTACAACAGTAAATACAGTGTGATAATATGTGTTCTCATAATGTTACTATTGCGTTATCATTAGTCTAATGTGGTAACACCTATTCCCATATCGGTACGTTCCAGGAACTTGGCGGAAACGTTACAGGTACTGGTGCGATAAACTTATAAGTGTGGTCATGCAGTTCCTGAATCAGTGCTTGGATGCAGTGGTAGCTAAAGAGATTATCACACCACAAAATAAAGCAACTGATCCCCGACAGGACATACAACTTAGATCTTCATATCTGAAGGGCTCATAAGTATTTGTAAACAAATAATAAATAAATAGTAAAGGCCACATGCTAGATGGATGGACTTTATTAAAGAGACCACGAACATGAGTTTGCAGGAGCTGGGCAGAGCAGTAGAGGACAGGGAGGTTTGGAGATGTCTCATCCATAGGGTTGCCATGGGTCGAGATCAACACAAGCACAGTTAACAACAACAAAGAGGACAAATAAATAATAAAATGGGTGGAAATATCCAGCTCCTAGTAGAGGCTGAGAGGTTTTTAAAAAGAAAAAAAGTCTCCTTGACTAGGTGCCAGCTTACACCTCTTGGTACCAGGAGAACTGTTTCTGTCCTTGTTTTGGCATCTCAGCCTCAGGCCCTGCACATTCTCACATGTATGCATACACACACACACACACATTCTGTTGGGAGCTGATCAGAGCTTGAATGACACTCCAGATGACTCTTTGCTATTAATTCTTGAAAACAGAAAGAACTCCTTGTTCTCCCATTCTTATTCCCTGGGAGGAATTTCAGGGAGCAAGGCAGCAGACTAAAAAGGTCTTGGCTTAACCCTTCCTCTGATTTCTTGGATTGTTCCACACAACAAGGGAGATAAAAGCAGGAGAACTACATGAGCTGTTCTATCATCTTGATTCTTGTCCAAAAGGTCCATTCTTCTTTGACAAAGAATATGCTCCAAATGATGATCCTTACAAGATCCCTTCCCTCAACCTATATATTAGTACAATGCTTACAAGCTAGGCTCATTCTACTAAAACAGATTGTTCCAGCCTAAGGAGTTTATCACACAGGGGGAAATTGGAAGTATAAATGGTGATTAACCCATAACTGCACAAATGGTTTTCATGCAACATCAGCACCTAAAATGCTGTTATCCCGTGCAGAATCTGTGAAAAACCCACCTTTGTGCACAATTGTGCAAATGGTTTTCACACAACGTTGAGACGAAATGTGATTAAAGTGCCATTATCACGTGAAGAACCAGGCAAGACGTATTGCTCTTTGTTGCCTGGTTATTCCCTGGATCTTCATGGGATAATGGCACTTGCGTTAATGTCGTTTTAAGCATATTTTAATGTCAATTGCGCAATTTTCATGGGTGAATCATTGTTTAAACTCCCAATTTCCCCCATGTCATAAACTCCTAAGACCCTCCTGATGTGATATAACATAATACAGTCCCTATTGCCCTGTCTTCCCACTGTCTGCATAAACAGTAGCCAAGTGGATGTGGGAGGCAGTGTGGTATAGTGGTTTGAGTGCTGGACTACAACTCTGGAGATCAGGGTTTGAATCTCCACTCAGCCATGAAAATCGACAGGGTGATCTTGGGCAAGTATTATTATTATTATACAGTCTTCCAGCTTCAGAGAAAGGAAATGGCAATGGCAACCCCCCCTCTGAACAACTCTTGCCAAGAAAATCCTGTGATAGGTTCGCCTTAGGGTCAGGTACACAACAAGTAAATAAAGAATGGTTGTTAAATCTCCTGTGACACACAGAATACTCCATGCACACACACTCCCTTTAACCACACTCCCTTTACTAGGATCTTGCAAATTATAATGCAATCCCAATTGTCTATGGACAACTAGAAGATTTTGGATTTCATTCAAGCAGTTAAACCTCTTCACCAATGGAAACTGCATCTATTCAGGCTATAGTTGTTATACCAAACCTCTAGTGACAAGACTCTCTGTATTAAGCTAGGTTGGTCCTCAGACAGCAGATACATTGCCAGCTTCTGGGGATGCACTTGAAGTCTTATTACCCTGGTAGCCTTTCTCTATCAGTGAATACTTTGAGAAACAAAGGTAATGTCCATGCCATGAGGAGGAAGAGGAAGGCTTAGAGTGCATCTACACTGCAGAAATAATGTAATTTGCATTAAGTGCTGTAGCTCCATCCTATGGAGTCTCAGGGTTTGTAGTTTTACAAGGTCTTTAGTCTTCTGTGTCAGAGTGCTGGTGCCTCACAAAACTACAAATTCCAGGATTCTGTAAGATGGAGCCATGGCACTTAAAGTAAACTGAGCTTGGAAACATTACTTTTGGGGATTGGAATCTCCAGGATTACCCAGCCAGAATGGAGGAGTCTGGAAGTTGTAGTCCAAAAATTATGTTTCTAAGCTCTAGAAATAGGGCTGTCAGTGTACTGGTCTAAGACAAATAATGGATTTTACAAAGAAGTGTTGACAACCCATTATTTTCCTACAAGGTGTCTCCATGGGAGTTAGGACTGGATGATGGCCAGCAGATTTCTCTCCCTCTAGCCACATGGAGAGGGTAAAATGTATGTCTGAATGTGAAAAGAATCACAATCTGCCGTTTGAATGAGAAATACATGGAACAGAGTTTTAGCTCTCCATCCCTGACAATCTGATGTAGGAAGAGTAGACTTTGGCTAACTGTTAGGATAGTTTACATCAGAAGTTGGAAACTTTACTTTTTTAGAATACAACTCCAGAACTGCACTGTATTGTGGTAAGCTGTGCCTTCCTTTAAGTTTGACCTATAAGTAAAGATTGTAGTCAATGTTTGCCATGACCAAAGAGGACAACAGCCCTTGTAAACATAGTGTTCCTGTAACATTTTATCACTTGGAGAAGTGGATTGAGTATAACAATACCTTACAGTCAAGTAGGGTGACATTGTGGTATCTCTAGTAGGCAAGTCAACAGGTATTAGGTATCAAGTATCATAGATGATTCTGATTTCAACAAGATTCTCTAAATCCATCTAGCCCAACACTTCATACCTTGGCTGAGAGTAACTCTTAATATCACAGTTTTTCCCCACCCACCTTGCTATCTGGGATTAGAAATGCCAAGATATGAATATGAAACTTTTATATGTGTATACTAAATTAAAAAGTGACCTTATTCCACTTTTCCATGGCAGGATGGTTTACAGCCCTTATAGTCAAGATAGAGAAGGAAAGCAATATTTTTGTCAATGAAAAGCAGCTAATATTAATACAAATTAAGCCATTAAGGAGCAAAGCAAAGTATCACTGTAAGGTACTGTCATAATACAAGTGCATCAAAAGGATCAGAAAAGAGAGTGATGTCCTTTTTTCAACATTAGATGAACCACCATTGGAAGAATATGGGTATACCTCAGATAATGTTGATTATGTTCCTGGGCTTTACTTCTTTAACAAAAATAACATAGATAGAATATGGATAAGTTCCATCACCACAAAAAAGAAGAGAAACCACATGTTTCAGCAAACTTTTAATTCAAAACTAACATGCACATACCAGATCCAGTAAGTATCACATAAGTAAACCAAAACATTTTGAACCTTCTAGACCTTATGTGAAAGTTTCTTCCTAAATGCATCCTGGGGTGATTTTCCTCCTTCCAACAGCCTTCACTTTTTTATGATTTCCATTTTGATGGCAAAACTTTTAGAGCTATGCTTTGTCAACATGCCAGGATAGCTGGTGAAGCAGGCTAATCTGCCTTCCCTTTTTCTTTTTCTTTTGCTCTTCCCATATGCTGAAGGTAGCTGTTTCCTTTCCAGTTGTAGCTAAGCACACCCAGATACATCTAATGCAGAACCCCATTCTTTTCCAGGTCAAGATTTATTGCATTGTTTACTATAGGCACACAGCTGCAAGCCAGCACTAAAAGTCTGTGTTTCTCCAGACCTCCTTCCTTTACCATCCTCCCAATGTCAATGCTGGAAAAAAAAAATCCAACTAGATGGAACAAAAGAAAGGGGAGCTGGAAAAATACTTTTTTAAAAGGAACTTCTTTGCAGAGGCTTTGTTAACTGAGATATGCCTGTATTCATAAGTCTTTTATTTTCTTATGGTGGTATACCCTCTCCTCTATTGTCACCCATCAGAAGGAAATGTCAACTGTAGAAGAAGACTGAAAGGAAAGGATAGATTGATATACAGTATCCCTTATCCAGAATTCCAAAATCCTATGTGCATAAGGTATATACAAAACATAGCTGAATTTAATGTATAGACTTGGGTCCCATCTCCAAGATATTTCATTATATATGGGCAAATATTCCAAAATCCAGAAAAATCCCAAATCCAAAACATTTCTGGTTCCAAACATTTTGGATAAGGGAAATTCAACCTGCACAGTGTGTGCTTTACCACAGAATTGAAGAGTCTCCCCTTGTTTTCTTTAATCAAGACATTATCCACACTTTTCCGAGTAGAAGACAAACACAATGTGTACCTCAGAACCATTGACTTTGGACAAACATTTCAAAAGAAAAGAGAGAAGGCATCATTGCATACATTTAAAAACAGAGTTTGGGAAGTTCCTTATTTGGACTACACTTCTCAGAATTCTCTACCCCGTAGGGCCATTGGCCATGTGAACTGAGGAATTCTGGGAGATGCAATTCTAACCACTCTAAAACAAGGGGTTATGGGGGCACACTGATTCCCCTGGCCCTTGGACTCTTTACTCTATCGTCACGTCTTGATGATAAAACTGGAGGGATTACATTTTGAACCAGAATAGCCAGTAGTGCCTCTAAACCTCTGTTTTGCCCTGTTTGGGACATTCCCCATGTTGTTTTAGCTCTCCGTTTGCCTTCCTTTTTCTGGAGACCAAGGTTGATTCTTTGCTCACCTATGAAACCCACTGGCTGACCATAGGCAAGTCACATGCTCTCAGCCTCAGGAGAAGGCAATGGCAAACCTCCGCTAAACAAATCTTGCCAAGAAAATGCCACGATAGGGTCACCATAAGTAGGAAACAACTTGACGGCACACAAAAACAACAATGCCTTCCTTTGGCCTATATCAGCCTTTCTTCAATTCAGGAAAAGACTGAAGTCAAACAGTTCCTGCTTTGAAGAAAATCCAAAGAAAGGACTCTGGAAAAAATAGAGTCTACTCTCCTCAGATTGCTCCAAAACAGCAAAATGACCAATGGCATCTCCAAAGTTTTGGGTGGCACTATTAGACATTTGGCAGCAAAAATAAATCCTCCATGGGGGTGAGGTTGTCCTCCACAAAACTAGCTTGGGGGTACATGTGTGGCCCATGGGATTTGCCTTGTCCTGGCTTCAGACATGCTTCTGTGGGATATCAAAACGAAAGCTTTTGTAAGGGAACCAGATTCCAATGCTC